CCCGCGCCCCTGCCCCGCGGGCGCCCCGCACCGCCCCCCGCCCCGCCGGGCCCCGCCGCCTCGCGTCGCCAACGCCGCCGCCGCACTTTACTTTTTAGTTGGGCCCGTGCGCCGAGCGTTCTTGGTCGCTTCTCTTTTTGCCGGAATTTCTCGCGGCTGCCTGTTGGCCTAGCCGGGTCATTGAGAAAACAAACAGCGAGGCACACCTGGCAGCGCCCGGGCGAGTTTATTGTCAGCGACGCCGCGGCGCGCCCCGGGACGCCGGCGGAGCTGTCAAACGCCGCGGCCAGGTGGGCTCCTGCCCGGAGGGGGCGCGGGGGGCGGCCGGCGGAGGGTCGAGCGCAGAGCGCGAGTGCCGCGTTTCTTTGTCAGCTCGGTACCCCTGTAAGTTCTCTCGCTCCCGAACCTGCGCTTCGCCCCTGTAGTGATAGATTAGGAAGTCATTGGACGGCTCCCCCCCTCCCCCACCCCAGAGCCACTCTGCCCGGCGCCCAAATGCACCACCCCTGTGCGATCGCACGGCTGCAGGCAAAGCGTGCAGGAAGTTTGGGAAAGGCAGCCGCGTTCCCCCAGCAGGCCGGCCGTGCGGAGCACGTTTGCTCCGGGGACACGGATGGAAGCCGTGCCCAACATCCACCGAAGCGGTGGTCCGAGCGGTTACTGGGTCAGGAGTGGATTTCGTGTGCTTTTCAACCTGCCCCAGGACTGCAGACCTCGGGTCGCTCGCTTGCTGAAAGTGGCTTTTTACAGAGTGGTTGGTTGTACGGCAACTTTGCCTGGAAATGAAGACCTCCGTTTCGGTGCCAGTGAGTCGCTCAGCCCTTGTGGCTCTTGAGGGTGCCGGGGAAGGTCTGTGACAGTCTTCGAAGTTGTAGAATGGTGTGTGTTGCGTACTCATTTCATTACACGATCAACCGTATAAAAGCATCAGCACTTTGGAAAATGTTTAGAACAGCTTTCAGTCTTAAAGAGTTGGTAGTGGAAGGGTGCGCGGGAGCGGAGGAAAGCTGCACATTTATGGGTACTGTTATTTTTTTGTTGTTCGGGCGAATTCACTTGGTAATGTTGAGTTTGGTGATACATTGTAAAAATAGTGTTAACTGAGTCAGAGCCGAGCCAGAGCTGTGGGAGCCCCATGAAGTCCTTGACTGGACGTGCCCTGTTTTGCTTTGCTATTCTTTTACTGCGAAAATGATGCAAGGGCCTTCAACTTGCCTCCATATTTTATGCCAGCTCTTACCTAGCTGTGACAAGTCGTCAGGGAAACAAGTACAGGATGTATATATTACTACATTAGCTTCTTTGTAATACAAAGTTGGGGTTTATTATTCCACTTGCATTGTAACATAATGTCTGGTATAAAATGTCATTATTATTCCTGTATTAACTGAAACTTGGAGAACAAAGCTGGGGTTTTAAGTAACTGAACTTCTTTGCCACTTTGTGTCCTTCAAAGCAACACACATCAAGCCATATTAGGGTTTTTATTTGATTGCTTCCCATTTTCACTCTTTAGAAAGCACTTCTTGGCTTCTTTCTGAACATTAATTTGGGACTATTATATGGTTTAGATTTGTTTTTAAATTCTTACTGTAGAAAGAGTACACCTGTCTATGTTGTCAAGCCCCTCACACATACACATGCTGAGATTGAAATGAGCTCATCATCTGTATCAGTGAGACTTCTGGGTGCACCAGAAGAAAGGTTGATTTGGGGTAGTACCACTTTGTTATTTTTAATCTCTCATATTATGAATAAAAGGAAAGGTAGCCCTTTGAGAAATTAAAACATTTCTACAGAATACACCCACCTTTAACCGTATAAAAGCATCAGCACTTTGGAAAATGTTTAGAACAGCTTTCAGTCTTAAAGAGTTTTCTCTTAGATTTGAAAACTGGTACAGCATCCCTTATAGGAAATTAAGTCTAATGGTAACTTTGATGGTTCCAAACTTTTCAGTGAATTCTTTAAAATTAGGTGTGTCTTTTGGAGGGATTGGAATGGAGTCTCCAGTTGTTTTAGAAACATACATGTAAATGGAAAGTAATAAGTGAAGTGAAAGCAAACAAGGGCTTTCGGTAAGGTAGCTCTACATGGTACCTTTAAGATACATTCAGAAAAGACCCTTTATGTAGTTGGGTACTGAAGACCCTGAAAGTGAAACTGATAGATAGCAAATGTAAATTCAGTTTGTAAATGCTAAAATTATTTGCCAATTAATTATGTAAGAAATAAAAATTAACCTCTGTGAAATGCAATGGAGGTACAGCTTTCTAAATTGTCAGTGTTATTTAAATGGTCATGAAATGGATTGTTTTATGCTAGAGAAGATGGGATGCATCCTGACACTTAAAAAAAGTAGATTTGTGTATTTGTCTTTGGATTAAAAAAAAAAAAAGGTAACCATGCATTGCTAATTGCACTTTCTTTGAGTTTGAATTTTTAATAACTAGGTGAGTAAATTAAACATTTTCTTATACTATTTGACACTTTTTATGTTTTGTCAAATTAAAGAAGCATAGGCTATATAGTTACTGGTTTTACATTATTATTATTACTTTAAAATTATGTTACTACTTAAAATCAGGAATTTTGGACTGAAGCTATTAATCTTAGAGGCAGAGTTTGAAAAGTAGGTATATAAATAGGAATTTCCTGTAGTACAAACGTCAAGGGGAACAGTGAAATCTACATTTGTCTAAAACTTCTCAACAGTAAGGACTACCTAATTATTTGGTTATTTGGAGTAGCTCATAATCTTTATCAGGAATACAGGTCTTACCAGGTGAAGAAACTATTGCCACAGATAGGCACGTTTAAGGGGTCTAACTCCTTTTCTGTTAATGTTAAGGAAACTCTTCCTGAAGCTTTGATTTTTTTTTCCCCCTTAGTAATGTGTTCACATTACTAAATTTGGAAGCCAAGGAAACATTGTACCATATTTCTTAAGTCAACAAAGTTGGTGTTAGGGATGGGGTGGGTGTGGGGGTGGCACAGAAGCAGCAGGTGGTGGAGGTAGGATTTCTGAGGCACTATCCTTTACCCTTTTTGGATAAACTTTACACCCTGCACCACTTTCTTTTCAGAGGGCAATTACTGTTGTTATAAGGCTACCTTGAGAATTATTGCTGTAGAAAAATTAAGCACAACCAGTGATGTCACATAGGGAATCAGCAAAAAATGACTATGCTGCAGGTGACTGTTGCTATTCTAGCTTTGTAAGATACCTCCCCCACAGAATTTCTCATTTCCAGAGGTGTAAGCTTGAAATAAGTGATTTAAAAAAACCTGTTGCATTATAACATATGTAGTTTCATAAAACAACAGTTTATAGTTGAGAGATATCACTATTATTCATGCTCTGAGATAATGCAAATTTGTAATTTTTATGATAGTTTTTTTTATTTTTCAAGAAATTGGGTAAATGGAAATTTTCAGTACTTGCTGCTCTCTGGCACTTAGTGGGCACGGAAATGTTCTAATTTACTCGAAAAGCTGCCAGGAATGGCAGCCTCTCTTACCTGTTCGTTGGTGGTTCTCTAACCTCACCTCATGATCATTTGCTCTTGTCCTTTTTGTCTTATTCATGGTATTTCTAGGCTTTGAGAATATGATGTTTTTAGTCAGATATACGGGGGTGCCCCCCCCAAAAAATATGCATGTGACTTGTATTCATCTTTTGTTATTGGTATATATTGAGTATTACAATTTTAATACAGTTTTTTTCCTTTCTTAAAATGTGTATACATTTTTTTGGCGTCCTCTGTACTATTTTATATTCAGTTTATTGGTTATTAATATGTAAAGTCGATAAGCTTTGATTTTCATGTAAATTTAAAAGTATCACAACATTATTTTCCCATTCTGAAAGTGATTTCATACATTTTGCTATTATCTCTGTTAATTCTCCCATGCCAGACTCGTAGTCAAGCTTGCAGAGGGACAGGACACACTGCTCTACCCTTTACCTTTCCCCCACCTTTTTGCAAACTGCATGTTATTCCCCAGGCCACCAGCAGATTTCCTCTGGGCAGGCAGTGCTTGTCCAGCCTTGTATCCTTAGGCCACTTACAGTTATGACTGAGGGGCTTCCACGGAACCTTCTTGACCTTCCAAAAGGAAAGTGGTCAGTTTTTAGTTAGGACGTTAGACGCTCCCTCTGCACTTGCCTGTTGGGGAGATGTTCAATACCCTCAATAGGATTTGATAGAGTTTTTAATCTATGAGGAATTTGGACTGAACATAATTTTTAGCTGACATAGAATAAACTTGCCAGTCACTGTGTGCGTGTTGCCTTTTTTCTCATTATTGTTTTGGCCCATCATTTAATTTCAACAAGCGCATTAATCCCGTCTCTCTTTAAAAATTTTCTTTATCATGTTTGTGCTAAAGTGGCTATTTTCAGAACTTCTTGGCAGTATAAATTGCAGAAGTTATTGAGTGAAATAGGGTTGACGTCTTTTCTTTCCTCTTTTTTTCTTGTGATGGCCTGCACATAAGTGTATGCTTGTGGTTAGTGTAACCAATCTTGAGTTTGTAATTGAAGCGTCAGTCTCTCTATTTGTAGGATTTGAAGGACTAAAGAACACAAGTTAAGAGAAGCAGGAATGACACAGCTCTTTCTGTACTTTCTCTAAAAAAGCTTCGTGTCAAAGATAGGACAATTGTTTGGCTTCACTTCTGCTGTTAATTCTGTGATAACTACGTATGATGCACAAATGCTGAAATTGTTTAAGAAGTCTGAGAAATACTCTTCGGTAACTTTTTAGATATTTCATTTGGCACATGTTATTCAAAGAGCACGTGTACTGTGCTGGGATGGACAGTCAGCTCTAGAGGAAGGTTCACTGGTGGCCGAGAGGGGTCCATCCACACAGATTTGGAGGAAGCAGGACTTGAAGGAACGATAGAATTTAGCCAAGTAGAGTGAGAAGAAAGAGAGAGAGTGTTGGAGAGGGGCTAGCAATGTGAATAAAATTATTGAGGAGGGAAGGAAGTGTTAAAGGTGTTTTCTTGGCGTGTGACTAGAACAAGAGGCTTAATGGGGGATTGGGGCCAGGCTGTGATGGTCTTGACTGTCAGGCTAATGAGTCTGAGCTTTATAGTCCTGGGGTTATAAATTGTTTACAGGGACCAGGTAGGTAATTTAAATGAGTTGCATGCAGCTTGTAAGATCCTGAGTGACAGCTGACACTTAAGCCTGTGGGGAAAGTGGTCAGAGCAGCCTGTGAAGGGAGTCCTGAGTGCTTCGACGCCTTGCAACGGTGCAGCCAATAGGTAATTCTGGCTG